ACCGAAGAGATTTAGATTTGCCGGCTAACGGGAACTCTGACGTCACCATTTTGTGTACTTCGCGGATGCGCTCGGCTCCTCTCGACTGCTGCTCGGGTCTGCTCGGTCAGCTTCCGGATGAGGAGGCATTCGTTCGACCAACTTACAGTAGATAACATTACAAACATTTTTAACAGGGGCCATAATAGTGTAAATAATGTTTGTTTTGGCAGTTACAACTGAATGTAATGTTTTCTACTTTTTTTTACATCTGGGAAGGCATTTGCCTTCATCCGATGGAAAGTGTCTTGACCAACAAGTTAAGTATTTCTTGTAACTATGCAGGGCATGCAAGCGAGCAAACAAGAACAAACAAACAAGTGAAATGAAGAATAAAATTGAAATTGTACAATATAATATTTTGGTGGTTCATCTTATAATTCAGTCGAGAGAATGCACCAGACAGCATCTAAGACCTGCAAAAATCTACATTTTCTAGGGGGAGGCCCCCCAAACCCTTCGTGCCATTTCGTCCGCGCATTTTTCAGGACAATCTCTATTGGGCTCAGGGCCATCTGTAAATTAGCTTAGATGGCCCACAGGACAAACTCCTTAATGTCATGCACTGAGTAGTATTCTTACTTTATCTTTTCTTCAGTTTTACTTGACCAAAATCTGTGGTGTGTGTTTGTGATCCTTAGTGATGTAAACTCTATGTACCTGTCGTCCACGGAGCCGCCCGCCGCTGCTGAATGGGCGTGTCTCCTGCGACCTTTGAGGGGCAGAGAGCCAGAAGGCATCTGGAACCTTCTGTCCATCGTCAGGGAGATGTTCAAGAGACGAGACAGCAATGCTGCCCCCCTGCTGGAGATTCTCACTGAGCAGTGCCTCACCTACGAACAGGTACATCCTGACCATGACACCAACTGCAGCTGCTGAAGGATAAAAAACACGCACATGAGCATTTACAATGATAGGGGCTTGACATAAAATAAAAAGAAACGATTCCTCTAGAGGGGTAACATTGAGTATGCATGAGGTCTTTGTTACATTATGGACAACAACGGTGACATTTATTTATGTAAATTCAACGTGGCAATAATCCAGACCTCTGACCTCTGTGGCTATGTTTCAGATCATCAGTTGGTGGTACAGTGTTCGGACCTCAGCGTCCCACAGCAGTGCCAGCGGCCACACCGGGCGCAGCAACGGCCAATCTGAGGTGGCGGCTCACGCATGTGCCAGCATGTGTGATGAGATGGTGGTGCTATGGAGGCTGGCGGTGCTTGACCCCACCATGAGCCCCTGCAGGTCAGAATGTGCAAATGAATGGCTATAAATGTATTTTCAGTGCTTTCACCACTTAATGATTGCATTGGACAACACATTTAAGATGAAGTGAACATCACATAGAGACTGTTATGCTCTGTTCCAGGCGTCTGGAGCTGGCCGGGCAACTAAAGCAGTGGCACCTGAAGGTCATAGAGATCGTGAAGAGGGGACAACACCGCAAGTCTCTGGATAAACTGTTCCAGGGCTTCAAGCCTGCTGTGGAGTCCTGCTACTTCAACTGGGAGGTGGCCTACCCGTTAGAGAGCATCACCTACTGCAGCGCTGATAAGAAGAGCGCCACCTTCTGCTGGTCCAGGGCAGTGCTGCACCAGAGAGGGGTCAAAGCTGCTGCAGGATCGGGGGGAGAAACCCCTGAAGGCGGAGCGGGGGGCAGAACTGAAGGCGGAGCAGGGGGGGATTTTAAAGGCAGAGGTCACACGTCCCAACAGGAGGTGGCAGTACGACCCAAGGAGACCTTACTGACCAAGAGGAAGGGGCTGTCAGTGAGCGGAGGGGGGGGTGTGCTGGTTCGTCTGGGGGGGGGTGTCTCTCTGTCCCTGGAAGATGGAGGAGGGAAGTGCATGTACAAGGGGCCGGGTTCCTCCTCTGGAGGGAAGCTGAAACTGACCCAGGGAGGTGGGAAGGGGGCCTCTGTAGGGGGTCCTGTGGGAGGGAGTGGGGTAGGAGGTGGTAAGCATGCCAGTGCCAAGCGGAGAACCAGCAGTGAGGACAGCTCCCTGGAGCCGGACCTGGCCGAGCTCAGCCTGGATGACGGCTGCAGTCTGGCTCTGGGGGCAGAGGCGAGCAACACCTTTGAGTTTCTCCCCCCTCCACCTGAGATGCTTCCCTCCCCGAGCCCACTGCTTCGAGACTCACGTAAGTACAGCAACAGCAACGGGGGGAGCAAGACATGTGAAACAAAGCGTGTGAGCCATGCCTCGGCTGCACTTCCTGCTTCAGAGCCGGCTCCCCCCTGCTTCCCCCCCAAAGAGACGGTGGTGGTTGTGATGGACATGCCCAGCGCTGCAGAAAAGGACGCAGAGCAGGAGGTCGAGCCGGTTCAGAACAAAGAGGAAGATGTAGACTCCGCTGGCAGTAACCAGCCTTCCACTTCAATCGCAACAGTGACATCAGGCTCCACTCAGAACTCCAAGCCTGCACGGGGCCGCAGAGAGGCGGGGCCCGCTGAAGCAGCAGCAGGGAGTGGGGGGGCAGCTAACCAAGCAGCAGAGGCAGCAGGTGGAGCTGCAGGAGGAGAACCTGTGGGTGAGGACGACTACCAGGCATACTACCTGAGTGCTGCCTCGGAGGAGGGAGCAGACAGACAGCTGGCTGAGGGCCACCAGGAGGAGGAGCCTGATATCTTTGCAGGGATGAAGCCGCTGGAGCAGGAGGGTCGCATGGAGGTAAAGAAGGAGGAGTGTTCACAGTCAAGGCACTACAGGAAGGCAAATACACCAGAACCTCATCCATAGACATTAAACATTAAAGGTCCCATGTCATGCTTTTCCGGTTATTACCCGTCCCCTTGTGTGTTATGAAGGTTTTTCTGCATGTAAACGGTCTGCAGAGTCAAAAATCCTCAAAGTACACCCTGTAGCGA